GCGAGTTCAAAGACACTGCAAGTTAGTAGAAGACTATTTATTGATAGGAAACACGCTGCAATTAAGCATTTCAGATACTTGATTTTTCTGTGCCTCTACTTTCTGATGATGACAGGTCTTTGGGAAACCATGCCTGGCTGTAGGTTGGGAAATGAAAGAGAATATCTAAAATAACATTTAAAGTGGCCTTGGGGACAAACAAAAAATAAAGCCGATCTTTACCTGGCAATCAAAAAGTAAAAGTTTGAAAAGACACCAAACTTACCAGCTAATGAAGTCCATCCAAAGTATTCACAATTTGTTTTTTTTTCACACACACCGCCATGATGGATTCTGGGTCCAACTGTCACTGTCTTGAAGCTTCCTGGAATGTGTGACGTGATATTCCAGGAGGCTGCGGACAACAAGGGCTATGTCCTCTTTGCCTAGGCGAGGGAAGCGGGAGTAGCCACCAAAAAAAGATACTTGCTCCCTAAAAAGGACTGCGATGGTGTAACAGGCTAGGGGAGGATGGGAAGAATGGCAAGTTTTATTTTGGGTGAAGGACCACTTTAAGGCAGGCTGTAAAACAAGGTGCCGTATACCTTTCTGGCATGATGAGTATGAGGGTCTTAATATCAAAGTATATCTCCATTTTTAAAAAGAGACCTCTTCTAATATTTCTGACATACAGTATTTAATTAAACTGAAGTGAAGGGTTAAATGCAGTGCCTCGTACTGAAAACAGATAATGAGAAGATGAAAGGGGCAGGATGGCAATTCTAACCACTTTTATTTTTACAGATGACGGCTTTCATTGAGGTACAGACAAAGCTTCTATTATTGCTCTAATATGACAACACACAACGTTACTGTGTACTGGAGTTTTGGGTACCTTCTGAATGTTTAATGAAGGTCACAAATAAGGAATTAAATATGAGAACAATTTCTACCTGCATTTAGAGGAAGCCATGAAATCAGACATTTTATAATGATCTTTTATCTGCTTTTCTTTTGTAGATCTTTTAAAGTTGTCCATATGTGGCTAATTAGGGAGGTTCATTTTCCCCAGTATTGGGAAACTGGTTAGCGTCTTCAGATGCAGCCTGTGACTCCTCTTTAGAGTTGCACATATTTGTCATTTTAAATCATGATTTCATCACTATTATGTATTGATGTACCGTTACTTTATACCTCCCTTCTAACTGACATTTGAAGTCTTCAGTAACACTAGAGATCTGCGGATCCACCAGATATAACCAGCTATGCCAACCATGCCAGCAGTAATATCCCCTAATATATACTATGCTGGACTATTGTAAGTTATGAAATGAATGTTCCATTCTGAGTATGAAGGAGGAGATTAAACACAGACTTTAACAATATTACTTTTATCACAATCATGAAGGGCACCAAGATATCACTGAAGGTGCCTGCCAAGTACAGTGATTCAGACCTAGAGGTTTGATTTGTGAAAACTGGTGGTGAGGAAAATACTGTTGGACAGATGCCAGATAGCAAGCAATTGAGCTGCACGTTTGAAAATGACTTGCTAAACTATTGCTAGACTTGCCAAGCTTCACAATTTTGTTTGAGGGCAGAGGGGCGGCAGCGGTGACCTTGTGGGGAAACTGCGGGCGCCGGTGTAAGGTGTCCCCACGGCGGACCGTAGTGTGCCAATTACGGTGCGGCTGGCCGCAACTCCTCCCCCCAGCTGTCAGATATAGGGCGCGGGGTATGAATTCACAGGCGTCCTGTTAATGTGGATTGACACCGGAGGAAGTAGCTGTCTACCTTGCTATCACAAGCTACAGCTTGCCAGGAATGTGTGCAGCAAGTTCACAAAAATTCCAATTTAACCCTGCCACAAGTTTGTAGCAAGTTATCCTTGCTATCTGGGATGTAAGACTTGGAGAGAAAAGTTTGTGTCCAGGAATATGAGTAAGGTCTGGCTAAGAAAGTTCATCTGAAAGCCAGAAAAAAGAAATAGCAGTGTTATAAGCATTAAATGATAAACGAGACTTATATATTTTAACAGTTGCCTATGTCTAATGCACTCAGGCAAGCCATCTGTAATAAAATGCAGATTTTGGCCAGTGACCAAGAGAAAGCATTCCATGGTCCATAGATATCCATTAGGAGATACAAGAACATCCTGGACTGTTAAAAGGAATGTAATTCAATGCATCATCTTTTCAATATTTTTTAGGTGTACATGTAAAATAGTAATTCTATGAATGCATGTAAATGTTTAAAACTTGTTTTTATGTATATGTGTGTGTGTGTGTGTGTGTGTATATATATATGTATATATATATAT